GACGTATAGAGAGCATAATACGAATGCACATAGTCCGCATGTATGTGTTGTAACACAAGAGATACCGTTGGGGAGCACGAGAGAAAGAGGAAGAGAGGTAATGTGTCGCGCGCGCACGCTCGCGATTCGCAATTCACTTTCGCCGTATCATACACGGAGCCGACGCCGCCGCTATTTTCTCGTGTCTTCCCCCACTTCTCTTGGTCGATATGGCTCTCTTGCCACTGAGATTGCTCTCCCTTATTATTTTTGTGCGCGCATAGAGAGGCAAGGTCGATGCACCGCTGCTGCTGCTGCTCTCGACACACACACACACACACACACGAACACACACACACACAGTGCAGCGCAATCAACGTCCGATGCAGTCGACGGTGCACCTATATAAACATACTACCTGCTGCCGCCTCGCGCGCGCTCATTTTCATAAATCCAGATTCGAGATTCATGAGCGCACCGCCGCGCGGATAGCTCGATTTGTTCCTTTCGCGAGAAAACATACGAGATTCAATCGGAAAAATGAAAGTATCGTATCTTTCAAACTGCGGCGATAATTAATATCCTTTATGCACCGCGGATTTTCATCGTTTATTCGAACATTAGAAATCCGGACTGACGCGTACCGCTGCTCTCGTTCGCGCATATTTCTAGGGTACGTACGCCGAGCTTTGATATTATCATCATCGCAGCTGACTGCCTCTCAACGAGGTGTCAAACGTTCGCGCGCGCGGTAACCGATGATTTCTGCGCTGCGCGATCAGCAGCTGACGATCGTCGATCTTCCGATCGTTGCCACTGCTTAATGCTTTGATGTTTTTTTAATTGATTTTGTCACGATCGACTAGAAATCGAGGTCATTATGATACCTTGATCCGCCACTGTGGAGTGCGTCAAGAGTATGTACGCTTTTGTCCTTATCAAAGCACGATGGAGTGGAATTCTTTTTACATAATTAAAAACTTACGCTTATACGAAGATTTGGCAAAGTGATATAGTTACGCATCAATGTTTAAACTCACCTGAAACAAAGCAAAAAAATGTATGATTAATATACGGCGACGTAACGTTGTTTTTGTTTTATTCTAAACGTATGAATACAAGTACAGGTGCAGCTCGAGTCGCGTATACGCAACACAAACCGCATCGAAAATGGAAAAAACGTATTAAAATCGCACAAGTATCCGCGCGCGGAGAATTGGTTTAATCTGCGAGAAAAACAATGAATCCGCGTGCAGGCGGTGAAACGTGCAGCAGAAGGTTCCCACTCGTGCATATACATACACAGGCATTTTTTCTCCGCATCCTCCGAACGAAAGATAAATGGCGAGAAATTCTCGTCGGAAGTGTTCATTAAGACACACGTGGCAGGAGCAGCAGCAGCGGCGGCACCAAGGTGAGATCTCTCACACGGCATTGTCGAGAGATGTTTTGGCACTCTACTCGCGCGTCCCGAACGAAAGCCGAAAGCTATAGTAAGCCGAGATCGTGCTACGCTTCAACGCAGAGCAACTGCCATGGTGGCAGCTATGTAGCTATAGCGCATACGAGTGCATGTACGTATGCAATCATAGGCGCCATATACAGAAGTGCGCTCGCTCGTCGGTTCACGCAATTAGCGCGCGCGCGACCCTTCGCCGTGATCTTGAATCCACACACGATGCTCACGAAGGATCGCGACTAGTGTATACGGGGGGAGCGAGCTGTTCGCGATTCCCACGACTCGCCTTGTTCTCTCGTGCGCACGCGGCATTGTTGGCAAAGCTTATTATATATACGCGCTCTTACGACGGCCTTATACGATATTTACCGTGCACACACCGCGAGACAATGTGCGCGCGAGCTCGTGTGTACGTGCGCGAATGCGTGTATAATTGTTGTTGCTTCGCGCATTCATATGTGTGTGTGTTTGTATGTATAAGGCGCGATTCGATCGGTAGTAGCAGCGGTGTGGGCCTCTCGCCGCCGAGCAACGCTGCGCCACGAATTGTTTTCGCTTTCGCGCAAAAATTATACGCGGGAACCGCATTTTATATGTACTTATAATATGGCGGCTCAAGCTCGCATTCGCTACGACGACGACGGCGACGACGCCAGTGAATTTTCGCGCCGAATATAATCGTTGCCGCATAAAGGCGTTGGCTTGTAGCTCGACGCTTCGGGCTGATAAATATACAGCCTCACGAACTTGGGTGCAATAACACGCTTGTCGCTGCTGCTGTGCATGTAAGTTCACCGCAGCGCATTTGTCTCTGCGTAAACCTACTGCCGCCGCTGCTGTATACACGCCTGCACCTCGCCGCTGCTGCAGCCGGCATCGCATTGAGAAACAGTGGAATATTTGCTCCGTTTCCAACCTGCTCTCTCGGTACAGTTCGCGCGAGTATAAACCTTTGACTGAGCTCAGTCGCTACCGAGTTTTTCGACTTTCAAAAAATATACACGAGAATGATAAAATTACAAGGTCCTTTGGGCTGCACACAGGAGAAAAAGTCCGGCGCTGCCGCTCCGAAGCAGCGACTGTGTATAAGCGCTTTTTGTCGAGCGGCCCGAGAGCGCTCGAAAAATACATTTCAGCTCGAGCTAAATACAATAACAAGGTACACCGGCGGCGCGGCAAGGGAGAAAAGACGCCTACGAAAGTTATTCGGTCCAAGTATGACAGAAGTGTGCAGCAGCAGTAGCGCAGCAAGCCACGCGGGACGGCGACGGATGCAAAGCGTGCAAGTTTTTTTGAATTCGAGAAGCAGGTCGTAAACGAAGTCGCTCGCTTACTCGCGCGCGTCTTCTTTTACAGCAGCCATAGCAGCAGCAGCAGCACAGGCCGTGACCCACATACACGCGCCTGCACAGCAATCTCAATTTTTTAGCAAGCGAGCGCGCCCCGCCGCTACTACTACGCTATGCTAGGCGCTACGAAGCTAACTCATGCAGCTGTGTACACGTTTTCTCGTGCATTCAACCCCGACTAATAGGCCGAACAAATAACTCCTTTACTTTTCGTCGAGGAAATTTTTCTCCTGACAAGCAAAACGAATCCAAACGTCACAAAAGCAGCCTATAATAGCATGGCGTGTGCGCGAAGAGCTTTGTACATCGCGGCTTATGGAAAAGCTCAGCGAGTGAAAAAAGTCATCGCTGCAGCGAGAGCAAGAGAGAAAATGATGACGTCGAGAAAATGCCTGAACCGACGCGCACTCGGTACTTCAACGCAGCGAGTTTTCTGTTAGGCAACTGGGAAAAAGGACCTAGATGAATAATTTGTCACCATGATCCTGCGCATATGAATAAAAGTAACCGTTTCGACGGTCATTACCGGGTTAGCACTGCATAAAAAAAAAGTACCTCTCGAGGATATCCGGCGGTGCTCGACGATGACCCCGGCTACGTTTCAAATGCAAAATGAAAGTATTACTGCAGAAAAACGTTGCATTTTACATCCACCTGTGTTCTTTTATTTATTCGTTCTCATTCAAAATTCACACGAGGGGTTTGTTTTAATCACTTTAGCATCCGTTGCATATACAGAGTGCAGTGCGTAAAACTAGCACAAATGAAAAATTACTGATGGCTCAGAATTTTTTTTTTTTTTAAATAAATGTAAGGCGACTTTTTTAACGAGCGGCTTTGCTAACGATCGCTATGGTAAACTTAAAAATACTCGAGCTCGCACGATTTTTTTCTATTAAAACCAATCTTAATTGAAGAGCGCGAGCAAACTAAAAAAATACTCGGAGGAAAAAAATGGATTGTTAGATGTAGTGAAATATACTCGCAGGGGAGGAAAGCCTTCCGAATCGAAAGGAGAAAAAAATCCATTGAAAGAGAGTTCAACTGAACCAGATAAACTTACGTAAAATTGCTTTTGATGCGTCGGCTTAATGACTGGAAATTAAAGATACTGCTGCCTTCACTTTGGCAGTTCAAGTGCGTATGTAACGCCATTACTTATAAAAAGAGTACTAAACATTGAGTCAAGAGCAATAAACGATGGATGACGAGAAAGCCGGCGCGGTATAATAAATGAAATGTCTGGCGTAATACGATGCCAGCACAAAGATTCGACTATTATTCGAACACTCGAAGCTAAATAAGAATTGTTATGTACTTCGGCTTTAAATAATGTCACTTGATGTGCACAAGTGCAATTTCGCAATTTCGCAATTTTGATTGAGTGCATAATAGATTTGGCAAATTCAATGACGTATCAGTATTAAGTACGCCTTCTTATGTCACCGTACACAAATAAAACGCGTACGCAGAGCCTCTGGCATCTCTATATAAAGAGCTATAACTTTTCTTTCCTCGTATTATCTGTTTTGCAGAGGGATAAAGTTTTTTCATTTAAAAAACAGTGTGCTCGAAAGCGTATTGGACATCGGAACTCTCTCTTTCTCTCTCTCTCTCTTGCTCGCGTGCACGAGACTGATCTTTGGCTCGAGTTCAAGTAGTATAATATGAGAAAGATTCACTTTGCCGCGAGCGAACTCGAGCTTGAAAAATCTACAGTGAATAGGAAGCTGCGTGCGTGAATTATTATATCACAAAGCCGTGTGCAAGGTCGGAGCATATCTACAGTAGCAGCAACAGCAGCGCAAGGAACACAGTAGAAAAATGAGCAGGAAAAAGCTCCGTGCGCATCAGAGCTTTGTAAAGGAATTCTGTCGAGAATGATGCATCGCTGCGCGAATGAAGAGAGGCCGAGAGACGGCGAGAGAGAGAAAGAGAGAAAGAGATATGTAAAAAGCAGGAAGAACTTCGCGGGGGTCAGAGATGGGCATGGGCACGCACGCACATACGAGGCGAAGCGTTGAAGCGCGCGCCGCAAAAGTGCCGCTAAAGAGGGAGGCAAGGCGTCGGAGAGCGGGCGCGCTCTACAGAGTGACCGGGTCGCGGCGTGCGATCGCGTGCGCGTGGAGCGGGGGCGGCTGCAGCGACGGGCCACTGCCGCCGGTTCTGCTCTCCGCGCCGGAGTTTAGTCTGAGTAAGAACGTCGGCGACGAGCGACGCGCAGCTCAGCGTAGAGAGCCGCTCCCGAAAGTGAAGCAGACTTGATAAAAAGTACGTCGATTGCGCGCCTCGCCGAAAGGCCTCTCAGTTCCAGTGCAGCTCGTGACAGTGAACCAGTGACAGACGGAGAAAGATTAAGAATTCGAGGGCCTCGAAACAACAACAATAGCAGTAGCGAGTCCAAGACATTGACTTGAGCGCCGTGGGCGCATCTCGATCTTTTCTCGCACGTGCTCCCGATCGAGCCAGTCCGACTGCATTCATGTGCTCAACTCGGCTCGGCGGAGGAGGCAGCCGCCGCCGCTGCGGAGCCGATCGTCGCGTGAATCAGCAGCTGCAGCAGCAATTGCATCGAGATCCGATAAGTAGCATCTGAGCTGCTGAAAAGCTACTCGAAAGCAACAGCGTCGACGTCGAGAGCAACGACGACGAGGACACGTAGGGACGACGATCGAGAACAGACTCGTACTCGACTCGCTGCATCGTGTACACGTGTCCTGCCGCCATAGGCTTCGATAACAATGTGAGTCTACGATTACTAAAGGAAGCGCGCGTTGATCTGCGATCCGCGCCGATGATACGCGCTGATCTTTAATGGTGATGGCTATATAGGAGTGAGGACGCTCGGCGAGCAAGTGCTTACAAGCTCGAGAGCCGTATCCGTGCCTAGATTATCGGGTGTTGTTTTACGACATTTTTAAGTGCACCTGTTTAGCGCTTGCCACATTTTGGCAGGTCTGTTAGCACTTCACTGTTTTTTTCAGCGGCATATCATTACTCTTTTCTTCTGAAAAGTAGCGCACTAAAAGACGGGTAACTTCGATTAGTGTTTTTTTTCTTCATTCGCGCAATTGAAAGTATACTGATATAGATCAAAATATTTAATTTATTTTGTTTTCAATTGAAAGAATGAAAATTATAAAATAAACAAATCGATTAATGATGAATATAACTAAAAGGGCAAACGTTTCGTATCTATTCATTATGTCCAGACAAACATATTTTCGATAATGTTTTTGTAATGATCATTTAATAGCTGTTATGATGCAAACTCAAAATTAGCTTACAATAATGAATGCAAAAATAATTTTTACGTTAGTTTATTTATCGTTTTGGTATGGGTATTAAGGATTACTAATTCATAATCGAAGGCATAAAATGAGTACTGATTTTGGGATGTAAATGAAGTGTATATCTGGGGTCAAACCATTGCAATAGGATTTTCGTCGATTTAAAGCTCGAAGTAATTTAAGTAACAAATATATCCATAAAATAACAAGCGATATTTAACACGGTATTCCATTTCCTTGTTAATTGTTTATTTGAATAATTCATTTGAGTAATACCATAAATTCAAAAGGGTTTTTTTACGGTGCAATTAATATTCGTATCAATACTCGAATAATCAGTCAGTAACAAGTTACATAGATAATTTGGAACGTACCATTCAGTTTTGATTCATTATGAATTTATGTTTAGACAACAAAATTAATTCAAAAATTGTTCCAATATTTGCGTTGATGCATTCCCAAAGGAAACAAATTTATAAAGAGAGACCGACAATTTCGTCTTAATTTTAGTTATTTCGTAAGTTTAGAGCATTTTTTAATTTAACAAAGTTGTTTTAGTAAAGGACTCGCAGAAAACAATTGTTTATCTTGGTATACACATGGTTGTGCGCTCCCCTTTTCATATTACGTTTTTACGTAACGAGAAGTTTATTAAAAAAGAAAACGACGTCTGAGTTTTAGGACTCGTGAATTGTCCCTTTAAAATGAAATGAGTTTACTCGCAGGCCAGGTTGATAATAAAAGTACTACTACGTGGCTTCATTACACGATCCAACTAGGAACAAACGTTAGTCCTGAATATTTCAACTTGCTAAACCAGATACTAAATTAGAGCTCAAAGCTTCGTCGATTGCCTATCGATTATATATTGCACGGCGCAGTGCAGCAAAAGATCATTATCGCTGGCTATCCTCGTTATCGTTCATTTATCAATCGAAAGCTGTTATCGAAAACTGCAACCGGGCAAAAAGCGAAACTAAATGTAGAAAAAAAATCGAGTCGAGTAGTTTCAGGCTATTGAGAAAAATCGTTACACCGGGAAACTGTTTAAGGACTCTCGGCTTGTAATTGTCGCAGAGAGCTCGTCGCAGATAAGAAAAATTGGCAAAGTACAGCGGTCAAAGTGTAGAGGACAGCAGAAAAGAGATAAGTTAAGTAAGCTCGTGTAAGTTCACACGATCAATCAACACCTCGAAGAAACTTTTCAATCTTCATTAAGCGAGAGCAAAAGTTATCGTGCTCGGCGCGCGACGTGAGCACAGCCAAACGTTTATATAAATATACGTCGGGTCCGGCGCATATAAAACCTGGCCTCATATAGCGCTCGATCGCTCGCTCGCGCATACTTACATGTATGCGCGCACTAAAGAACATGCGCAAGCCAATATAGGTGCACACGCGCGCGCGGATATAGACATGGGCACTCTCGTGTTTAGCTGCATTACACTTCTCTCGTTTAGGAACGTAAACGCCTATTTCCTTATCCGAGATCTAAAGTTCAACAAACATCGGTGCAGCTATATAGACAGTGCAAGCTGTCCGTGTAGAGCTAAAGCGGCTGCAGAGATATTATTTTTATTAGGTGAGAGAGAAGAGAGAGAGAGAGAGAGAAGAGCTCATGCACAGTGCTCGTGCCTGGAAATTAACTGACAATGTCGAGAGCGCGCGCGAGGAGTTCAGGAGCACGCGTTTAAGCCCAGGACTTGCTCAACACACTTCAATGGCTTTCGCCAGAAAATAGCAAGGCGAACGAGCGCGAGTGCCGAAGCTCGAACGAGCGAACGACACTCGAGGTGCACGGGAAAAAAGTAACACGGCTCCACTGTGCGTCTTCGTGGCCTTCTTTTTCTCCTTCTCTCGCTCTCGCTATTTTTCTCTTATACTTGCTCTTGAACATCAGTCGCATCGTAGTGTGCTTTTATTTTAATTAATGCGCGAGTTTTTTAGCTACTGCTCCGTTTGTTCCTTTTTTCATTTATCTTTTATTTTTATTTCTTTTTAGCTGTATCGCATCGACTTTCGTTCACGCCAAACAAATCGACGAGAGCTATATGGAGCTATATAGCGATACGAAAGTCGATGCTACTTCAACCGAATTTATTCGAACCACATTAAAGCACGTATGGAAATCAGATAGACTTTGGTGAGATATGAGCTGGTTCGTTATTTTAATAAGCCGATATATCGTTAATTGGACGCATGCTCGTGCACTGCTCTCGAATCAAGGAGTACAGTCGGAATCCGCAAGTGCGGTACACAAGTAGCCGCCTAGCGAAGCACAAGAGAGCCAAGAGTATTCGCGAAACATTGAATCCATTGGGCAGGGCCGCGGGAATTATAAACATACCCACACACATAACATAACACACACACGTGCGCGCAGTGCACTGCTAGTTTGTAATTGACAGTTCGTTTAAGTGCTTTCACTACTAAATTGCCATGCGGACTCTATGGCGTGCCATACGTCGGTCGATGTATAATAATACGCTGGTCGCAGCAGCAGCAGCAGCCACCGACCGATTCGTTTTCGACTCTCTTCGGATCGAGAAAAATCCTATCCAAGAGCTATCTAACGATATTCAGGAGCACTTCCGCGCGCCTTCTCTGTTTGTATATAACACATATCCTCGAGTATAGGCTACTACCCAACTACGCTAATAGACGTGCGCGAGAATAAATCTCCGGTCGGTCAGCGGCGCGTTGTCCGAACTTGGCCGCGCGCGCTTATATTATATTGTTTAAGCCGCTGCTGCGCGCCGCATGAGAAAAAGTCGATAATCCACCGGCTCACAATGGATTGTTAATTCAAGAGCGCCGCACGTAAAATACGTACACATACAAATTTTGCAGAGCTGCACTATATTATATACAGAAATAAATACACGTCGTGTACGCTAGCCGCGATTATCGCATGGCTTTTTTCAAAAATCATCCGCAGAGCAGTGTAGTGCAGTACAGTATATACGGCAGCAACTGCAACTGCTGCAGCAGGGCGCGGTCGCGATTGGATCTCTCTCGCTCTCTCTTTCTGTTCCGTATAGCGCGCGCAGTGGAATACGTCGTCGCTTGTCGCGCGCGCGTTCGTTTGACTCGGTATTCATCCATAATACGTATAGTCTACACGCTCACACACGTACGTGTATCGGCTGCACATACGTATGCACGCTGCAGTATGCAACCTGTAGTCCTGCAACTGTAAGCGCACACACACACATACATGTACATAGATAGATATATACATTTATATGTATACGGCTCTCGCGCGCGCCAACCACCCAGTCCGAGTAATACTTTCACTCTATTACACAGCGTGTGAGTGTATGAGCTGGAGGTACGAGAGCACGCCCGGCCTCTCCGCGTGCACCCGCCCGATAAATGTATCGATAATATTGCATAATCAAGATCGGAGGATTTTGCTCTTTACGGTCCCAGGCGCTGCACATACGTAAACAGGCCACACACACACACACACACGCGCGCGAATACGTTCACGTGTATGCATCGTGCACACACGAGACAACTAGCGCTATACAATGTCGTCGGTGCCTCTGTAGTGAGCACACGTACACACAAACGACTACGACGACGACCGACTTTGCAAAAGGAGAAGAAAAAAGTCACAACGAGAAAGAAGCTTACGAACGTTTAAAAAAGCCCGAGATTTTCCGCCTCGATCCAGCCAGCTCAGTCTGCTGCATAGCTTTGACAGATGTCCTATACCTGCTGCCGCTGCTGCAACTTAAGGTCTCGTGTGCTATTCTGCATCGATCTATCTAGTTTAGGCGCTCGCTACGTTGAACTTTTCATACGTACACACGTATATTATACCTAGGACTTTTTTTGCAGCCGCTCAATATCGCTTTGAGAGCGCTATAATCTGTTTTACATAATATTTGAATACGTAAAACGACGAAGCGATGCGTATCGTGTGCGCGAGATACGTATTTCTTTTATTTATGGATCGAGTGCACCCACATGAAGATTCGTTCAACTTTTTCACGCTTCAATCGTTGATAATTCGCTCTATTCGCGTGCTTTTTTTGCGTTCCTAGGCGTGATCTTTATATTCTATCGAGGCCATGAGAACAGACGAATATATAACGAAAGGAAACGCTTCGGCGGATATACGTTACGTTTTTACCACCAATGATCTAGCGAACGCATGCTAATCCAGCCTACGAGATAAAAATTATTTTGACAGTCTCGACTCTTGGGAGTGCAATACCGATCGTGCTTCCTTTTTCTGCAGCAGCCTGTATAATAATTGGTCCATGCAATACGAGATTTTAATTGCGCAAACGAGCCAACTGTTGATACAAGTAATTACGTTTCATTTCCGACTCTCTCGGAGCATACGGATCGCGCGTAATGGAACTGCTGCTACTCGCGAACGAAAGGACATATTAGTGATCCGCAATAACACCGCGTGTCGCGCCCGTCAAGTCTACACGAA